TAAATCATCTCCTGATTATCGTTATTTATATTCTTTATTTGAATAAATAGCAATTTAAAATGGATTCAAACATGATAAAAGATTTGATTGGACTGAATTCAGTTAAGGAACTACAAAAGTATCAGCAGAATAAACTTAATAAGAAAATAGATAATAAATTTTACGAAAAAATAAATTAGAAGATAAATCTCCTAAAAATTCTGATATAAATATTAACAGAAAAGAATTGAATTAATAATAGAAAGGTACTTCTTAGAGTAGAAATAGAAGTAGACATTAATCTGAGTAATGTGTAAATAAAAGTGGAAATAGTGTTAATAGCTATTCTTCATCTTGTTTAAATTCTTAATAATCATCTGTAATAATAAATTATTAAAATTCTTAATTCACATAAAGTAATGTAAGAATAGGTTCTTCAAAATTATTAAGTAGATTATAAGAAAGAGGAATAATCCATAAAAACTCTGATTCTAGAGGTTCTATTATTTAATAATAATCTTCAAAATCTTTTAGAGAAAGGAATTAATCTTAATAATTAATTTAATAGGTTATTTCTTAATAATAATCACAGCATAATAATAGTTAAATGATGTCAAGATTTTAAGAAGATTTTTAAGATCTGGAAGAATTGGAAGAGAGATTATAAAAAGATAAATAATCTATGTAAATATTTGTTAAATCAAGAGTTAGCGTAATTAGTAGCATAGGAACAATAAACCTTTAAAGGTAAAAGAAATTTAACATCATTTTGATTAAAATGAGAACCCTACTGATATAGGTGGAATGACATAATTAGAAGATGATGCTTGTTTAGAAAATAAGGTTAAAATTTATAATTTCGATGCTCCTAAACTGAAATAGTAATTAGCTAAGTACTGAATCAATACTAATTTTATACTTTGTTTTTTTAATATTTAAAGTCTACTTAAATTTTATAGATTCATATTTTTCTTTTCTTTTTCTTATTTTATTCAATTTCCATTTAATCCTTTATTTTCTGATTTGTTTCTTAAATTTTTTCATTATATTTTTCTCTTTTTATTAAAGAGAATTTTTCATCTTAAATCATTTTCTCTTTAATTTGTTTAGCTAATTACTTATCTTCTTCAATTTCTCTTTTCTTTGCTTCTTCTCTTTATTATTATTATTTTTTTAATTCATCTGTCATTTCCTTAGTTCTTCTCTCCAATGACTTTTTCTTTCTTTCCTCTTCTCTTTTTTATCTTTCTTCTTAATCTTTCATATGTTTTTAACATTTTCTTTCTTCCTCTTTTATTCTCTCTTATAATTCTTTGTCAACTGTTTATTAGAATCTATTAGCAATTCCATCAATTTTATTTAATCTATCATTTTTTTCTTTTTCTCTTTATTCATCCCTTTTTTTTATAATTTCACTATTTTATTTCATAATTTTTCTATCTTCCTCTTTTTCTTTTTCTATTAATTATTTTTATAAAATTTGATCCTAATCATATTATTTTAACACCTTTTACATTTCTAATTGTTTTTCTAATTTCTTTTTTTTATCCTCTTCATCATCTATTTACATTTTTCTTAAAACTAAAATTTTAATTACTTAATAATAATACCTTAAGCTATTTCTTATTATTCTTCTGCTATTCTTTTTTTTCTTTCTTTTTTTTCCATTTTTTTTAAATTATCTAAATAAGCATTAACTTATTAAAGTTCTTCCTTTTTTTATTTAGCTTTTATTTCTTTATTTTATCTTGAAAGCTCTTCTTATTTTTTTATTAATTATTTTTATTATTCTGCATATCTAATATCTGAATTTTTTTCATCTTCTTTTTCTTTCAATTTCCTTAATTTGATTTCACATAATTATTTTCTTAATTCTTCTTATTATTAAGCTAACTTTTTTAATTTTTCTTCATCTTCTAATTTTTACTTTAAATCTTATTCTTTTGCATATTAACCCCATTTTAAAGAATCAACTTCATATGCAGATTTACCATGCTATATTTTTTCAATATATTTTTACATGACTAGATTGTTTTTCTGTAAGTTTAGGATTTTAATTAGTAAGTTCTTTAGATTTTTCTTTTGTTTTTTCTGTCATTTAAGGTGCAGTTTATGGTACAGATTAAATTGCCTTATCTTCAGAATATATCTATTATTATTTAGATGATTTAGCTTTCTTTTCACTTTATGCAGTTTCACCTTTTAACTCTTTTATTATGTAATCTAACATTTATTAGTTTTAGGGATTATTTCCATAAACATCAATAAACTTCTTTTCTAGATTGCTTTTAATTCTAGTTATATTAGGAACTTTAGTTGAAGACATTATTAATTAAATATTTATTGGACAATAAATAATTATTATATTGTAATTTATATTTATAAATTTAAATGTATGGAGATATAATCTATAAAAAAAATCTAATTTAATTCAACGTTTAATGTTAATGAGATTCTTAATTTTTGTTAAACTATCTTTAACACTTTAAAAATATTGTTTCATTCTATTTCTCATTTATTCAGCTTCTTCTAAATTCATATTTTCATGTACATCAAATTATAATGTTGAGAATTTTTGATTAGGATTTCTTTTCATTTATGAATCAACTTCTCTGTTAATTTGAGCTATTTATTTAGCAAACATCATTTGAGATTCACTATTTTTTATATTAATTTTAGGAGTAGTAATTTATGTTGTGCTTTCCCAAACTTCAGGTAATTTTTGGATAGATTTTGATTTAATTTAAATGTTTGGTAAATGTCTATTAAGTGGATTTGGATCATAAATTCCTATTGCAGGAATCTGAGATGTAAGAGTTTTAGTACTTCTACTAATTAATTAATGTTTATGATTTAGACCTTTCTGTTGTTTTCTCATCTATTATCCTCTCTCAACAGAAGTATGATTTAAAGTATATGTTTTAATATCTATTGTCTTATGTAATTCATCTATCTTTTGGCTTGTCGGTATCAAAGTTACATACTTGGTGATTGGATCATATTTTGGTGTGTCTTATTCAGTATGCAATTTAGATTTAATAATTGTGTCTGCAAGTAAAGAATTGGCTTATTCACTAGTTCTATGTTTAACACTTTTCTGATTTGAATTAAAGTGATAAAATTCAGCATTCGCTAATTTACCAACTTAATTCCTTTCAAAAATAAAAGGTACAAATCTTCCTTAAGTTGAACAAAATTTTTCTGGTTTATCTCCAAATGGATAATAATTAGACCCATTATGCAAGAAATTGACTAAGGTGGTCTTTTACATAATTAATATATATAAATTATAAATCAAAAATATAAATTAATACAATAAGAATTATTATTACATTAAGAAATCTAGTATATATTTAATTTTAGCCATCTAATCAATTAATTAATATTATTACATTGATTAATAAAGTTATTTTAAAAATAGATACATAAACCATACATTTGAAAAAATATAAGAATTTAGTTCAGTTAAAATAATATATATTTATTTAATAAGAATTAATAAAGTAAATATTATATTATTGTGAATATTAAGTAAATAATCTATTTATAATATAAAGTTGTATTTTAATTTAAGTTAAATGAATTTAATTTATGTAATCAAATTTAATAAATAATATAATCTATATTTGATATTTATATATTATATGAAAAATTATAAATATATATTAGTTAATTCAATCTTTTTTTGGAAGATCTGTTCCTTCTTCATGAGATTATTTTTAAAAAGAAACTTAAGAATCTTATTATTATTATTATTATTATTATTTTTTCTTTGTTAATTTAGTTTGAATATTCTAATTTTGTAAGATTTATTTTAATTATTCAAAATCTTCATCATCACCTTCACTATCTCCCTATCTTCCTGCTCTATGAGTTTTTATTGTATTATTTTATCTAGATAATTTACTTAAATCAATTCTTGTGTCTAATGCAATTTGAGATTTTGATCCTCTACTTGACATTTATGGTTTTAATGTAGCTCTATCTGTATTATTACCCATATTCAATTTTTATTTCAACATGAATTCTTCTATTTATTTATGAACTGGTTTATTCACATCAAACCATTTTGGTTATTTAATAACATTATCTCTATCAAAATGTTTACGATATTTATAAAGATCTGAAATGGAATTTCTAATCTGAAACAATTATAAATAAAGTTCATAAAATTAAAGACAAATATGTGTAGCTAAATGTCTATAATAATCTAACAATTATAAGATCTATTTATTACGGATGTTGATATACTTCTTTACTAAGAAAATTGTAGAATACTATGATGTCAGACCAGTAAACTAATACAATCTCTTTTAATAACATATCTTCAGGTACCATTTGCAAAGCTTATTTTAAGATTTCCATCTAACCCAATCCACTATTAACCTTATAATTTATATTTTTATAATTACTAAATTACTAATTTTAAAGAGCCAAAGCAATTTTGTTTAAATATCAATAAATTTTTATCCCTCTTAAAACAAAGGATATTGTTACACTTTACAAGCATGGAACACTTATATATTTACAGCCAATTTTTATAAATATTAGAAATAACTTAATTAAATATTTGCTGATAGCCATTCTTCTTTCTATCCACTAGTTTTTACAAGTATAGGAGATTTTCTATTCTATAAAACTATGAATTTCTAATTTAAGAAATGATCAGCAAAATCAATCCCTAATTGGAATTCATGAAGCATTAAATGGCACGTTAATAATACTTTATTTCGAATGATATAAGAATTTGCAAATTCCCTAAACATTTATGAATTATGTATTACTATTCATTAACTAATGTAAAGTATTATTCTATATAATATGAAGGTGCTTTAGTTATAAATTCTGAATGATTATTCTCAAAGCAAGATATTAAGAACAATAGATCATCCAACAATATCTCATCAGATTAACTTAATAAGGATGAGTTTGCAACTCTCTTTTAAAAGGGTGGTCTATTCTTAAAATACCCCATAAATTTATTGATCATTATTTAATTTATTGTTAATTATATATATATATCATAAAGATTGAACAACATCACCAAAAGCACAATCAATAATTTGATTAAGGAATTCTTCTAGTTAATCCAATCTTAATGATTAGTTAATGTGAATATTGTCACTTTTGGGTAGCATATTTTTATCAATTGGAAATTGCATTTGAATACCATCAGATACACTTAATTCTATTCTAAATCTATTTGGATCCTCTTTTTCAGATGATAAATCTTCATATAATTTTATCACAATATTTGATAGATATTAAAGCATTAATATTTATTACAATTGTTTTTATTTAAATTCATCTTCAATTAAATAATGTCCTAATCCATAATATAAAATATTAAATAAAGAATATAAATGAGAAGCAGATGTAAAATATAATCTAGTTCTTACATGTCTCCATGGACTATTCAAATCACTTTCATCAGATTATCTAAATTTCCAATAATCTTCCTCCTATTATTAATTTTTTGATTCTGCTTTATTCCACCATAAAAGATCCTATTTGATTTTATTACATAAAGGACCAACTACACGTTTAGCTATAGATAATTTTTATTTTGTTGTGATTCCATATTCAAATGGAACCATAAAATGACTTAGTAATTCAGCCAAACAATAAAACTCTTTTGAATTTTCATAAAATTATAATTTATCTTGATTATGTAACATATCATATTTGACACTGTCATAAATATCTGGAATTTTAGAAATATTGAATTTTTCTTTTTATAAGAAATCATATTCTAATTTGTACCATCTTTTGAAGAATAAAGTTAAGTTTTCTGATTCAAACATAGTTTAAGCTCCTTGTTCCATATCACTTGGAGTTATATAATAGTTTTTATCCAAGTGAATATGAAGTCTAATTAGTTTATTTTAAAATTACCTTATATTTTTGGTTAATTAATTAATGTATGAGTGTAATTAAATAAGCATAGACTTTGGACATTTAAATTTGCTAATTAAATCATGTTAAGTTTAAGTCATATTAAAATCTGGAAAATACTTGTAAATCTATACTAACATATCCTCATCACTTGTTAACATTTTTTATAGAATATTTTTAATTTCTACTTCCTCTTCAATTTCTAAATTATTACAATCTAATAATTCCTAAGCAACTTCATTCTTTTAAACCATAGTAGCTAAAATAGGAGTAACTTCTCCTTCATAACCTAATAATCCTTTTAGAAAAGCTGCTGCAGTATATTAACACCTACCTTCATCTGACGAAAATGTTTTTAAATCATGTCTATATGTGGAATGTAATCTAAGTAATCCATCTTTCTCAGTTGGATACATATCATGTCTAAATACTTAACCTAATCTAACAGCATGTTCTTCACCTAATTATGTTAATTCCCCACCCCATTTTAAGATTAATAAGACTTCAACTGGAAAATCAACGATTGAACCATTTTTTTCTATTTTTTATGTTTTTAATGGTTTAATTTAAACTTTTCTATTAATACCTTCAAAATGTCCTCCTAATTCTAGAACTGATTTCATTTGTAATAATTTAATAATATTATCATCACAACAAGATGTTTTAGCAATACATTCTCTAGTTAAATTAAGTAATTTTAATAATTATTTTGGATGTTTTAATTTAATTTCTTTTGATGGATCAGGTACATCATCAAAAAATGATAGAAATTATTCATTAGTAGATCTCATTTTCATTTTTTATTTTGGTGTTCTATCTCCATGTCTAAATACTGCTACAACTGATCTTAATTCAGAATTCTTTTCTTTTCCATCTAGATCTTTTGAACTTGGTCTAAAAGAGTTTTTGTAGAATCCTTTAACTAAATTAATATCAGAAATTTATTTCTAAAATAAAGTTGGTCTTAATTTAGCCAATATCATATTCTATAAAATAGCTGCACAATCTTAATAATATTTAGCATTTCCTTTTACAAAAGACCAACCATTAACATCACATACATATGATTTATTATTACTTCTTAATAAATCAAATCCACAAATATTTTAACCAAATATATTCACAATCTTTATAGCCATCATTTTTTCTTCCATTGTTAAACAAACAGGATATCTCATTTCCTTTCCATTTTAAGATCTAACTACCTTACCATCCAAAACTGGACTTTTTCTAGCTTCTGCATGTGCATAAAATTCACCTACAGTATATACTTTAATATCAAATCCATTTGTTGGTAGAAATACTTCATAAATATAATTTTCATTATCATTTCTAATACTATTTTAAGTAGGATCAAATATACTACTTTAATTACCAACCTTTCTAAATAGTTTTTTACATCCACCTCCATCTCTTGAATTATAATAAATGTATATATTATGATCTTCTGCATCAAATGGCTTTTCTACAAAAGGTTTAACTAATTTCTAATCATTTATCAATAAATAATCATCACCTTCCTCTATCTTAGTAATCTAAAGATCTTTATTATCTTTCTTAATATCAATTACAGCTGATAAAGATCTAGCATCATAAGATCTCATTCCTTATTTCATTTTATTTTTATTTTTATCCTCCATTGTATCTTATCTAGGAGGCAATAGTAATTCTTGTAATTATTTTGCTGTCTATACTGATTTCATATGTTAAGATGAATCATCATTCTATAAAAAATTTATAACACTATCAACATTATCTTCCTCTTCAATAATTTCTTATTCAGTCTTTCTTGATTTATACTTCTTTTCAATTTCTTTTCTATTATAATCATCTATGATATATTTATTTGGATTCTTAAACACAAAATAATGTTTAGGCACTGGTACTTTATTTTTCTTTAATAAAGTATAAACTCTTTCTCTATCCCATAGAAGTTGTTATTTCTTTAGATCATTTATAATGAATGGCTTTCTCAAATCAGCATAGGCAATGGCTTTATTCAAAGGGAATCCATCAGAATAAAAACTAATAAGTGTTTCTACTATAGGCCATGATTCAATAGGATCTTCAAGAATCATTTATTCAGAAAATATTTCAATTTAAAAAAACTCTGGGTTTATACGATTAAGAATTTCTTGCATTTCTTTTGATTAAGATTTCTTAGCCATACAACAAACACCAATTGTGACTATTTTATCATCCTCTATTTCATCTGTAAATTATGACTAACTCTCAGTTTTCTCTATAATTATATATTTAATTCATACCTCTTTCAACTGAATGTGATCTTATTTTCCTTTTAATATCTTAGTCTTAATCCATTATATGACAATTTATATATATATATATACTAAAAATAAATAATGATATATTGGAATTAATTTTCATTTCAAAAAATAGAATCAACCTTAATTATTGATTATCTTAAAAAATTCAATTGGTGTAATTTCTTTATGTTCAGGACTAATAATTTCAAAATCCTTTCTTATTCTTGCTTCTACTTATTATTTTTAATTTTCATTTAAATTCAAATATTCTGATGTCTCTTTATACAATCTTAAGAAATCTTCAGCACTAAATGATCCTTTTTTCTGTAAATCAAAAACACTAAAAATTTATGCAAACTCTTCACTTTTTAAATTATCTGTATTAATTTAAGGATCCAAAAATAAAGATTTGAAAAACTCCTTATTTATAGTCGTCTAAAATGGTTTCAATATTTAATTACAGATTACATTTGATCTAATGTTCTAACAACATAATTAAAAAATTAAGCTTCTGATTTATCAATATTCAAATATAGAAGTAATGCTAATAATGTAGATTTCTCTATCTAATCTACTTACTATCCTTATTTATCGACTATAAAATATCTTTAATTATGATTTACTCTTAAGAGATTCGAATAATTCCTCCAAATCCTATGTTATATCTTCTATAGAACTTCCAATTTTCTAAACTGGTTACTAATTTTATTATTGTTGTTGACTATGTTATGAAAACTAACTTAGTGATTGCTAGGACATTATATTTAATGAATTTATTTATCAAATAATAATGAGCTTCGATAAACTAATGTTAAATCGACCAAATTATACTACAAGAAAATTATTATAACCCTTCTTTGTGTCAGCCAGTACTTAGAACTTTGTATAAACTCCTATTATGAATAAAACAGAAAATAAAGATAGACCATAAAATTTTATAGAAACTTAAAGAAAGACTTTTCATTAAAAAAATGATTCCAATAAATCTTAATCTATTAGCATTAAAAAATAAAGAGTTTAAGATGCTTATAATTCATTATCAGATTTTAATGATAAAAAATAAATTATTGCATCTCTTAAGACATTAAATTCTGCAGATGAAAGGTTTATCTTTTTGTAATAAATTAGAATACAATTAATTGATAAAATATTAGAGAGAAAAGATGAAATGATGATAGCATAATTAAAATTGAAAGCTGTTAAATTAGAACCTATCTTTAATGTTATTAGAAGGAAATTACGAAAATAACGTTTAGGAAGTGCTACTCCTAATTAATCAAAGAAAGGAACCATCATTATGCGATAAAAAACAACAGAAGACTTACTTTAAACACTACCAGATCAAACTAGAGATAGTAAAGAGAAATAAGATCATAGTCTAAATTAATAAGAAACTATCATTGAAGATTAAATCATTGAAAAAATATAGACCAAATTTACTGCTGGAGTAGCATTTTCTTGGCTTGCAAATAGACATGAAACTAAACAAGGTAATAATAAATTACTATAAATATTAAGTTCAATTAGATCCTGATCCTACTGAACGGCAATATTTGAGAAGATCGACTGCCTTACAAAATGGAAAAAACACTATTAACAGGCTCAAATAATAAGTATCAAAAAAAGTAAGTGAAAACTCAGACGATCTAATAAGAAGAGGTAACTTTAATGCAGAACAGAAAAAAGAAAAAAGTGATCTTAGTAAAATCAAAGCTAAAGTTGATTCTGGTTTAAATAAACCTTAATTAAATTCATTACCTAAGATTAACATAATAAAAAGGTAAGATACTCTAAAATATGTAACATCTGAGAGAAAAGAAATTTCTACACTTGGTGAAATCTAAACATTGAGAAGTGAAAGTAAAACAAGATTCTAAAAACTCTGATTTTAAGTTTTGATAAAAAAAGAAATAACTAGTTAGATTATCGTATCAAAAAACATAAATAACATTAATTTATTGATGTACACTCACTTTAATACGTCGAACATATTGTTGGATTTAATAGCTACTTTCTAAGATTCTTTCTTTTACTTATCATAATGTGAACTGAAAGCAAACTCTTTTATTTCATTCTATTGTTAAATAATGATTATACTTGTTAATTTCCTCTGTAATTCTATTTTCTTTAATTATCTTCATCTCCTTATTATTTATTTTCATATCCTTAATTATCTCTATTATTATAATTCTTTTATTTGTAATGATCTTTATTATAGTTTCTATTATTATCTTGATCATTATTATTATAATAATTTCTATTATTATTACCATCATTAGTATTCCTATTAAAATTTTATTTATCATTATCAATTTCATTATCTCTATCATTTCCTCTATAATTTTTATTGTAATTGTTTTTATAATTTCCTCTATTATTTTAATAATTTCTTTGACCTCCTTTTTAATTATCTCTATCTTCCTTATTATTTTAGTCATCTTAATCATTATTATCATTTTAATTTCTATTTTATTATCTATCTCTATTTCCTCTATATTGATTATTATAATTATTATTATTGTTATTCCTAAATTAATTTTAATTATCCTTATTCTATCCATCTTGATCTTAATTTTGATTATTCTATTCTCTATCAAAGTTATTATTTTTATTGTATTGCTTATAATTTTATTTGTAGGCTCTATTTTAATTATCATAGCCTTTTTAATTATTTCTTGATTGATTTTATTCTTATGTAATATTTTATTAATTGTTTTCCTCTTAACCAACTACCTTATCAACTCTTTTCTCTTGATTTTCATTTTCTTATTGTTAATGATCTCCTTTGTTTTATTAAACATCAGTTTAAGCCTATTATTGTTAATCAGTTTATTATGGCTATTAATAAGATAAATTTTATATTACATTATCATCAACTCTTGAGGATGTGTTTCTCATAATTTTAGGAGGTTCAAAATTATTTCGTTTATTTTAGAATTTTTCATCTCTATTTCTATTTCCAAAATCATTTTAATTATCATTATTTTATTATCTTTATTAATAATTATTTTTCTAATATCCTCCTCTATTGCCATAATTATTTTTTTCATGATCTGAACCTATTCTCATATATAGTTTATGGATTCTCCCATCTAATTCCTAAAAATAAATAACAATTGTAATACAATTTATAATTTATAAACTTCTAATAGTTTAAGGGCATTCTCTTTATCTACATCAAATCTAGTTTAATCCTCTGTTACAATAAAGTTTTTAATTTCAATTTCTTTTATTGTTTCTTTTAATTAATTTTCATTTAATGTAAAATGAATTAATATATTAATGCCATCTCCATTATAATTATTTAATTAATCCTTCTTTTACTAGATTAAACCTAAGTAAATATTTACAATATATACCAGTATTATCCCTTTCTTAATATTATCTTCTTTGATTTCTATCTTATCTATCTTATCTATCATTTTTATCTTATCTATCATTTCTATCTTATCTATCATCTTTATTATAATTATAATCTCTATTTTTAAAATTCTTTTAATTTTCTCTATTTCCTCTATAATTGCCCTCACCTCTATAATTACCATCTCCTCTATTTCTCTTATCTTTGTAATCTCTATTATTTTTTTTATATTGATTATTTCTCTAATTATAATTTCCCTATTAATTAGATTAGTCAGGATTATTAATATTATTATCATGTTCATCACCTTCTTAGTTCTAATCTACTTCCCCCTATGTTTATTCTTGCCTTTATTTTTATTATCTTCCAGATGTGCCTTATTGTGATTAATTGTTTCTTTATTTATAGGCTCCTTATTAATTTTAGGCTTTAGAATCAACCTAAGGCTTCTCATTTTCTTCATCAGATGATAAATCTCCCCATGCTTAATTTTCTGTCATGCACGTTTGCAATTTAAATAAATATTAAATATTTAAGATATTATTTAATTTATTTGTTAATTCGTATTCACAAATAAAACAACATTAATTTCATATTGATTTTATAATGCATTATATATAATCAAAGATTTCATAGCATCATATCCTTTAATAAAAGTCATCATTAAGTAGACATCTTTATATCATACATTATTAAAATTTATATATTAAATTTATACTAAAAATATTTTATTTATTTTTAATTGCAATCCTAAAATTAGATTATCTTACTTTGAATAATTTTTTTATTGTTAATAGTTAGATACAAATATATAAGTCAATTAATTTTGAAAATGTTTAAAAATAATGATTGTTTATACATATTTTTGACAAAATTAATTAAACATATATTTGATCTAAAATAATGGATTAAAAGAGTCCCTAAAAATCATCATCACCTATAAAAATGTCTTTAAATAATATAGATAAGATCATATATACAATTAAGGATTCTTGGAAGATTTAATAAGATGAAAACCAGAAACTGTTTGATTAGTTTTTATAATATTGCAAATCCTAATATCCTGTTTTTAATATCAAATTTACATGCTCCATAAGTGGAGAATGGTTAGAGTAACCAGTATTTAAATTAATTATGAAAAGGTGTCATTTATGCAATGCATATTAGATAAAAAACATTTGAATGATTGCTTTGATCTTAAATAGATATTGAAATATTTGATATAGAATGACAGTAATTTTATGTAAGATGGATATATATAGTGTCCTCTATGTAGATCAAAGAGTCATTTTAAAAAGGATATACCATTAATTCCAAATTTGTTTTTCCAATAACTTAGATAACAAGTATAAATATATTTATTATTTTGTAGTTAAATGATAAATCAAAACCAATAACATATTACTTAACTACTCAAACTTTGATTCCATTATATCCTGGTTTTTTAGGAAAAGTGCAATTTCAATACAATAATCAAATTTAATAAATATTTAGTTAGTAATGTGATGTTCAATAGAGTTTCTCTAATTTAAGAAAGATAATAAAAGGAAATGAATCCTTTAAATATTCTCATGTATGTTTGTTGGGAAACATAAGAATCTAAATTCCAGTGAGAGGAAAATAATGTCGACATTTAGAATGTTATGATTTTCTTTATTTAAATTGGTACATGTAATAGCGAGATTGTAATAATAATAATTATATTTTCAGAAAAGTAATTAAAGTGTCTTTTAATGGGATGTTAGGAGATTGTTAATTTAAATGAATTATAATTGGATTAAGAATTATATGAAATAGGATTAAAAAGTTTTAATTTTTCATCAGATTTTATATATGATCCATAATCATAAAAATTATTAGATACATATTCGATTACAAATTATGATCCTTAAATTGTTGCTTATAAGAAGTTGGTTCCAACAACAACAGAAACTATGAATTATATAAAATCTATCTATGATTTAACAGATAGAATATATTCATCCACAAAAAACTAAGAATTAACAGATAAATTTTATGAACATCCATTAAATGGTGAATTTAATATAATTAAAGATTAAAGTACTAATTGTAAAGTTGAAATACCTTGTAGATGTATTAGATGTGATAAAGTAAATGTATGTGATCTTAGATTCATGAGTTGTATATTAAATTAAGTGTAATATCCAGAAAATAGAAATGGAGTCAAGACTTATTCAGTTTCATGTCCTTTATGTCATAATCCTTTTTCACCTAAAAAAAGACATAGGGATTAAAGTGTTCATGAATAAGTCTATGTAGATACAAAGATGCTCAATTACATAAATACAATTAAGAATTTCAATTATTTAAATAAGGAAAAATATTAACTATTTTTATAAAAAAAACTATATCCTTCTTTAAGATTTGAAGAATTAGAATCTCCAATTTAAGAATTAGATTAATTTAATCTAAAATTAAGAGTATATATATCTATTAAATTTTAAGTGTTTAATATCAAATTAGAAATTAAGAAATCCTATTAGAGGTATATATTGTCAACATCCTGAAGCTTTTGATGAGAATAGTCTTATTGAATTATGTTCTACAGGTTAATTAGATTTGAATTTAGCATAATGTCCTTAATGTCAATAAAGTATACATAAATTAACACATGATAATACTTTAAAGGAATTATTAGGTTAATTATAAGGTGATTTTGATGAAATTTAAGTATTTCCAAAACAAAAATTAATCAAACAATTAAAATGATTATTTATTAAAAAATATGATAATATTATTTATTTAAATTAATGGAATATCATTAAGAATAGGTATTTGGAGAATTAGAAGATTGTTATTAAGCATTTGTTCCAAAAAAATCAAAAAGTAAATAACAACCTGAATAAGCTGAGATTTTGGAATTATATCATTTGACAGTAGAATAAATTGATTTAGAGTCTAAGGATATTGTTGATAAGAAGTTTCTAAAATTATCAAATTCAATTTTATAATGGATTGAAGAAGAGTTAAAAAACACAACATTTTAAATATTAGAATTGCATAGTCTAAATTAACAACATCATTATGTTTAAATCAAGTTTGGTTTTCTTTTAGTAGATCAAGCAAACTTATATTCAGTATATTCTTTCTATAGTTCTCTTGTTAAAAAAAAAGAGGGTCATCCTATATTAAATTCAGATTGTGTTGAATTTACAATGGAAGGAGGCAGAATAATAGATCATTCACTTAGTTTTGAATTATTTGATAAAATTGACTATAGTTTACCAGATTTATTAAATCATGTTTTAATACATTGTGCAAAATAATTTAAATCTAATGTGAGAGCACATACATCAATATTTTTGATTTCTAAATATTTTGTATCTGAAGAATTAAGTGACTTAAAAAAAGCTTTATTGGAAGAGATTAAACTTAGATACCCAAATACAATTGGAAATATTATATTTGTTTTACCCTTATAATCTACAGCAACAGAGAATTATGAAATTACAAAAATCTATAGTTTTAGTGATCCAAAAAAAATGTTTATACATTTATTAATAAAACTTATATCAAATCCTCAAATTCCTTTACTTTCTTAAGAAATATATTCCTTATGGGAAAAAGACTTTAAGATTTACACATTGAATTATCAATAATAACTTTTTAAAATTAAATAAGCTTATTTCCTTATGTATGAAACCTTACACTTTATGACTTCCTATAATAAGAAGAATACAACCATGAAAGAATTACTTGACACTTTGAAGAATTAACCTAATAACAGTATGAATTATTCAAAATATTTATCAAAAAGAAAATAATTAAGTGATGCTATCCTTGTGTTTAGTAAATATATTGAGTAATTAAAATCAGAAGTAAATATATCATAAATTAAATTTAGAATCAATAAGACATCAAAGATTTTAAGTAGAAACTCTTTGGTTTATTATGTTCGAATTAAGCAAGTAAATGGTTTACTTTGAGTCATGATTGTAAATTGAATAAAGCTAAATAATTATTTAAAGATCTTACTTCAATAGGTTATGAATAAAATATAGATTAAGCAATCTTACAATATTTAGAAAATGATAATTATGATAAATAGTAAATAAAGAAACCAAATGATCGATTTAGTTAATTAACTAAAGATAATGAAAAAGTAAAATTTGAGGATTATGTTAATGAATTCCTAAATTAATATATTGTGATGATAATCAATGAAATTAAGAAATCATATTCTTAATATATATTTAAGGATTTTGATAAATATTTGGAATCTACAAATCCTGATATTTTGAATCATTTACATACAAATTTAATTGATACTTGTACATCTAATTTTAAATAGACAGGAGAAAATTATGCAAAAATTTAATAATCATATTAAGTAGCATTGTCTAATTTAATTGAAAAATAAGATATGATAGATTTTTAGACTGCAATAGCTAATCTCAAATTATTAGGTTTAATAGAAGATACAAAAAGAGTTAAACCTACAATATAAAGAGCTGTTTATGCCAAATAAATGTATATTAATTATAACAATGAATTTTGAAAATATAAATAATTATATTATAAATATTGATCAAATGTTGGATATTTAATTAAGTTCAAAAAATATTGGAGTAATAAAATTAACTAATAACTATAGTATTTGAACTTTGTAATCCTTTTATTGGAGATAATTTGGTATTACTATGAAGGATTTCCAATAAATAAATTGCTAGCCATATTATCATTCTATACTAATTTTACATAATTCTCTGTAGTGATTTATCAAATATGGTCTATAATAGAATCATTAATTTGGAAATAGCAATCTTTATAATTAAAAAGATTTTAAACATTTTTGGTCTACGAATGTTTTATGGTAACAATATCTTTTTGGTTAATTTATTCAATACAACCAAATGCAGTTATATCAAAAAATCATCCATTATCACTTTACATATTATCAACTTTTCATGGTGGCAGTTTTCTTTATTTGTAAGATTAACTTTTAAAATTTAGATTCTTTTTAGCTATATATACTTCTGGATTCTAATATTCAGGGAATATTAAAATTACAATAATATCTGGATGTTTATATTTATTCTTTGTTGTGTTGAATTACTTAATTAATAATAGAATTCCATATCCTTTTTTGAGATATGTTAATCCTTTATTAGCTATACTAATAATTGCATTATTTGTCTTTATTTTGAGTAGTATATATGTTTTAATTTGCAAAAGATATTTTAAGAAATTAAAGATGTTAGAAGATGATATAAAAAATAAAATTTATTGAGATTATTATTTTTATTAATAATTAAATATAATGTTTGGATTAATATCTCTTGTTTATAATGTATCACAATTAATTGGATGGTCAACAATATTAGGATTAATTATGTTGGAATTAATCAATGGTACTGAAAAAACAGGATAGATTGTTTGGTTAGTTCATGTTATGTAAATCTCATAGATCTATGATCTAATTTCTAATATTATTGGGTATGATATTAAGTTTATGATAGTTTGACATCTGGTTCATTAATTAGTAATGTACTTTAATTAGGAGGAAGACTTGTAGTAGCATTACTATTTATGTATGATGGAGTATGTTTTTGTTGTTTGATTAATGCAGTAATTGCATGGTCATTAGCTGAAATAATTAGATTTTCATATTATTTATTCAAGAATAATTCATTGTTCAAGACTTTAAGATATAATGCATTTATGGTCTTATATCCAATAGGAATTTTAGGAGAATTAAGAACTGTTAATCAATCTTTAGCTATTTATGATTAAATCTAAATAAGAGGATTGTAAATTATTTTGATATGTAATAATTAATAATTATATATATAGTGGGAGGATTCTTTATGTATGCTTAAATGTTAAGTGCTAAAAGAAAACATTCAAAATAGACAGGAGTAGATTAGAAATAAAATGTTAAATAGAGATCAAATAGTCCTGTTAATAGACCAAAAAGAGAATGAGTAGTATTTATAAAGGATATTTTATATGATAATTATCATATGTATCAATCAATCCATGATTCTTCTACACATTCTTCTACTCTCTTAAAATAAGTTATTTTATCTTCTAAATACAATTTGGCTGCTTCACTATTAGCAGGTGAATCAGGATTTGGATCATTTAAGAGAGAACGTATTGATGTGAGAATTGCCCATACATCATAGATGGGTGACCATTGATTTTATAAAATGTCTAAACAAATCTTGCCATCTGTGTAAACCTTACATAAAATTATTGAATTATATATGATACATTTGGATGGAATATTTTAGTCTTAAATATTACATTAGGTGGTTTAAGTGGATATTCTTCTGTAAATTCAAGAAGTAATTTAAAGATCCCTCCATCCCAAATAGTTTAATCTGGTCCAAAGATGACAGCTTCCCATAATAAAATATTATCATCAAAAGGTGCAGCTTAAAATCCTTGTGGAATCATTTACTTTAGTTTTTAAAGATCTCTAACTAATCTCATTCTTGAATTTGTGGACATTATTATTATACTTTATAATTATTTATATGATTTAAAGGCATACTTATTATGTATCAAAAATTTTATTTGATATTTAAAAAATGCTTTTACCAAGATTTTTTTTGCTTTGTTTGATCTTCAACTTAGGTTCGACAATGTTCTGTAATTACTATCCTATGGATGCCAAAGCATGTATCTCAAAAACAGATGGAATTATGTGTATAAATCGGTTTTTAAAACAAATTTAGGTGAATTTAGTTAGTTTGAAAATGCATGCCTTTAAACTTCCATAACCAGTTATGGCTGTGAACCAACTTTAAATAAGTTAGCTTGTCTAAATTAATTAACTAATCCTGATGATTCTGAAGCAACATGTATTCTTAAATATATATATATAATAAAGGTCTCTTTACTTCTAAATGTCAGCTTGCTAAAAAATAGCATTTCAAAAATTTAGGATGCTCTATAAAATATTCAAAATATGGATGCATGAATGTGTAAAAAAAAGACTGTATTTGGAATAAGGGATGTTATGAATATGAAAATGAAATACCATTAGGAGATGAATGTTCAAAAATTTTTGGAGAATCTGTGACTCCATCTTTATGTTAAAAGATTTAAAATATTTCATGTATTATATATAAACATTAAAATATAGGTATGAGTAATGGTTTTGAAGGTGATTATTAATGTGTATCTGTTATAGAACAGTAATAATCTTAGATTCTTTGTAATTAACTAGGATTGAATTAATAAGGATGTATTTAAATAACCACAAAAGATTAAGCTTGTATATTTAAATATTAATACTATAGGTATTTTCGAAAATAACCAGTGTAAAAATGTATTATCAACATACCCGTAAAAGTGTAATTTAATGCTGAATCGATTAGGATGTTTATAAATCATTAACCCAAAATTGAAGTGTCAATGGAAAAACAATACATGCATGGACTTCATTGATAAAAAATAGACATGTGAATAATTAACTGAAGTAAACGCTATAGTTTGTTCTGGGTTTAATGGAATATGTTTATATGATTCTATAAATAAGAAATGCATCAATCCAACTAGTAATTAATTAGAAAAGATTAAATGCAATACTTTTGGATTAACCAAATAAGCATGTCTTTAAATTAAAAATTAATATTGTACTTTCTTTAAAGGAATATGTGAAGAATTATCTATATCTGATTTAAAATTATTTTAATGTAAGATGGAATTAAATGAAGATGCTTGTATTAATATATAGACTTAATTTCAATATTGTAAATGGGATGGAATTTAATGCACAAGAATTTAATTAAATTAAGATGTAAATTGTCCATTAGATTCTTTGAATTCAGAATCTAAAGTGAATGGAAATGTTTGTTAATCTATATCTAAACCAGGAGTAACATGTAAATATAATGCAAATACTCATTTATGTGTTAGAAGTACTGAAAAAGATTATTGCAATTCTCCTTATCTTAATTTATAAGGTTGTGTTAGTATTACAAGTGCAGGATATGCTTGTTAATGGACAAAAGATGGATGTGTTAATATAAAAATAGTAGCTAATAAAACTTAATGTGAAACTCTTGGATTTGCTAATGCAATATCTTGTTCATAGGTTTATGAGAATAATTCTTTAGGTTGTTATTATGATCCATCATATTAATAGTGTAAATCCATTATTCTTAAAGAAGAAGAAATATTCTTAAATTCTATTAATTGTTCAGATACAAAATATGGTTATAATAAATCAATATGTGCATCAATTACAACTCCTGGTTAAGTATGTAGATGGTATTAGAATTCATGTTAATAAATAAGATCAAAAGAATAAATAGCATAAATTTAGTGTATATAATTATAATTTGTTAATAAATATGCTTGTGGATTTGTAGAATATGGTAAAGAACCTTGTAGATATTTGGATCTTTAAAAAGGTTGTGTTAATTCTATTGTAAATAATATGAATTGTGCAACTCCTGGATTAAATTCTTTTGCTTGTGCAATAGCAAGTGGTAGTTGTTATTTTGATACAAATACTAATTCATGTTAATATGTTTCAAATCCATATTAATAATAATCATAAATTACTGCTGCTGCAAAAGCTGAATTATTAAATACAATGACTTGTGATGCTAGTTCTCCAACTATAGATATTTGTGCTTAGATTGTAACACCAGGATAAATTTGTAATTGGTCATTTAGAACAAATAGATGTTAAAATCTATTTATTCCATTTAATTCTCTTTGTAATAACTATTTGGGAACAAATGTAGTAGTAAATGCTAATACATGTGCAGCAATAGAGAATGAATTTCCAGATTATGATCCAATTGAAGGTGCTAAAGTTGATATAAATAGAGCAAATTGTAAATTCAATTCTAAAACATCAAATTGTGAAACTAATAAAGATGGTTGTTCAACTCCTTGTTGTACAGAACCAGATAAGATTGGAATAAATGCTCATTCTTGTAGTAAATATTCATCAAAAGATGTGAATACTTATTGTTTTTTTAATAATGATTTAAGATGTCAATAATTAACAATAGAATAAGTTGGTGTAGTAAATTAAGATACAGCTAGAATATATTTTAATGCAAATCAATTTAAATGTTCTTAGATGTCTATAAATTCATGTTATATGATTACATGGTCAACCAAATAAAGATGTTATTATAATGGTTCATCTTGTATTAATATTAATTATGCAAATTATCTTGATTTTAGTATATTTATTGTTGCACCGAAAATAATGAATGAATATGCATGTTTAGGTATTGAAGCATCAAAAACACCAACAAATAATTTGAAATATTTTACTTATGATTCAACAACATTTACATGTACTTCAATAGAAGCTCCAGTTGATAAAGAATCATGTGAATAAGTAATTGGTAATAGAAATTTATGTCTTGCTACTTAGATTACTTTAGGAAATGGTTATTGTAAATGGGATTCTACAAATTTAAAATGTGTAACAATTACACAAGATGAGTTTTTATAAATAAATACATGCAATTATGGTTAAAATAAGAAGGCATGTATTAGTCATGCAAATTTAGGATGTCAATTTAGTATCACTAAAGATAGATGTATTGATGCTCAAACTGATGTAGAATGTACAGATTTTGATAGTACTGGATTGGTAAGTTCAACAGTATGTTTAAAAATTATAAAAGATAAATAAATGTGCAAATTTGATGAATCATATAAATGTGTTGTTCATTCAGATGATGCTGTTGGATGTAATATTAATGGAGGTAATGCAATTACTTGTTATTATAAAACAACATCAGCTGAATGTAGATGGGATCCAGAATCATTATAATGTTATGAAAATAAAACAAATATTGCACTCTTGGGTTGTAATGATAATTTAAATAAGAAATTATGTTTATAAGTAACTACAGAACCATGTGTTTGGGATATGTCCAAATATAAATGTAATAGATTACAAGCAATTGATTCAACTTCTTTTAAAAAAATTGAAAGTGGAAGTGAATACAATAAATAAACATGTATGACTTTAATTGGAGATTCTTACTATTATAATGTAGTCACAGATGATGATAATAATAAAACACATAAATGCTCAATTTTAACTTCTTAGATGAGTACATGCAATTAATATTATGCTAATAAATAAGCTTGTTTATTATAGACTAGAGGAATATATTGTTATTATGATACAAGTGAAACTGATTTATCAAAAAGATGCAAACCTTTTACTGCAGAATAAACATCATGTACAACTTCAACTTAGATCAATATTTCAGTTTGTATGGATATTCCTAAATAATGTTAATTCAATACAACTAATTTATAATGTTTAAGTACTACAATACAGGAAACTGATTTATGTTCAGATTTAAAGAAAAAATCTGGATCTTATTATAATAAATTGTCATGTTCATCTATTAGTACTATGATTTCTGAATCAGATGGAAAATCTCAATGTTAAGATAATAAAGAAAATTAATAAACTTGTAATTATGAAAAATATTGTTATTGGAATTCAAGTACTTATACATGTGATATTAAAATTTTACATGCAATATCTTTTCAAGTTGATAAAGATTGTAAAGAAGAGGAAAAAACAGATTCAGAGGGTAATACAGTAACTGAAGAAGTTTGTAAAGATGTACCTAAATGTAATAATGATTCAAATAGTGATGCTCTTTATGTTTAAGAATGTTCATATAGATATTCAAAAGCTCTTTGTTTAGAAATGAATGACGCTTAATGTTACTTTGATTTAAATTAAGGAGGATGTAACCCTATTGCTTCAAATGAAAGAAAATTATCTAGTTGTGACAATGTTTATAATGTTGTGTAAAATAATTGTTTGGTAAGTTAATCTAAATATGCATTATGTAAAGTAGAGATTAGTTCAGATAAATATCCAACTAAATGCGATACTTTAGAGAGATCAGTTATTAAATGTACTACAAATTCTGTTTTACTTTCATCTTATAAATGTGCTGATATTCCATCTTTTAGTATATCTAAAGGTGCTTGTGCTAATGCAACAGATAGTTGTCGTTATGAAGCTGGTAAATGTGTGAGCACTATTACTAAAGATAGCACTTGTACACCTTCTTGTGATTCTAGTTTTAGTAAAAAATTGTGTTCATATTGTGGATGTGATTTTGATACTTTAGGAGTTTGTTAAAATTCACCATTATAATTGTTTCCTTAATTAACTAAAATTAATCTTACACTTACAAGTGAAAATGATGAAATTGAGATAAAAACAAATAAATATTTCTTATGTTATGAAGTAAATTTATTGAATTCTGGTAAATCAGAAGAAGTATGTGGTAGAGTATCATAATCTTGTATTTACACAAATATGTGTGTTGATGCAACAGGATATTCTTGTAGTTAATTATTAGATCGAACAGTTACAGAAAAAGCTTGTGTTAGATGCAAAGGAGATTTGATGAATTATGATTCAATTACTTAGAGATGTAAATCTTTAAAAAACACAACAGTTTCATCATGTGATAAACTAAATTAAATAGCTTGTTTATAAA